TATCAATGGAGGTTTTGGAGAAGATGGAAAGTGAGTCTTTTAATAAAGAAAAATTCAAATAGTCAGTGCCACGTGGCATTTTTACACTGGTTTGGGGTGTATTTTTACTTCTCCACTCGTCTATCAAATGTGAGAACACAATTATTGTGAAAATGGATCAAAAGTGTTTATTCATTGCAATTTGAAATAGTTTCATGGGGTAATAAGACGCTCATAAACTTCAGGTATCTTTTAAAAAATTCAAGTGTCATTTTATGTTTTTTCTCAATATTTAATAACAAAAATAAAAATACACACAAAATGATAAATTATCTATTAGTTGTTATAAACTGAACAAGCATGATCAGATATCTCAAAATAATAGTGGACAAGTAAAGCTGCACGGTCTTAAAATTTGTTCACAAACCAAATCACCTCTTATTTGTAATTAAAAAAAAGTGAAACCTAAATTTAACTGTTTACTCGCAAAAAGCCAATTGGTGTGCAACAACGCCCAAGTTCATAATGGCGATGGCGAAAATGGGAGTATTGATGACATGCCCAATGTTATCTTACCTAGAAGAAGAACTCAACAAGCGTTTCAACCTCTTCAGATTCTGGGAAGCTTCTTCTAAGTCTGAGTTTTTGACTCAGAACAGTGACTCAGTCCGAGCTGTTGTGGGGAACGCATTTTTCGGTGCTGAATCGGAGCTCATTGATGCATTGCCAAACTTGGAAATTGTATCATCTTACAGTGTGGGTTTGGATAAGATTGATTTGGTAAAGTGTAAAGAGAGAGGGATTAGAGTTACTAATACTCCCGATGTGCTCACTGATGATGTAGCCGATGCAGCGATTGGACTGATATTAGCCACTTTGAGGAGAATTTGCGTTGCTGATGGATTTGTTAGACGCGGGTTATGGAAAAATGGCGATTTCGAGTTGACATCAAAGGTTGTTATTATTCTATGCTTTTCGTACTTCCTTTAATATATTTGAAGAGAAATCCTCAATTTTGCATATGTAAGTTTCGCAAAGCATAACCAATTGCAAGCCTTAATCATCCTGATTAGGAATAATAACATACTCAGAAAATGATTCGTAAAGATTTACTATTCAATCCAAAAGTCTATACAACTCAGCATATTCACAATTTCGCATATGTGGGAAATTGTTTGTCAAGTAATGTATTTGGCTCTCGGAAATTGAACATTGGTGATACTTTTAGGATAGCGGAATTTTTTGGAGCTCCTTTGGGAATAGCTCATCAGATTACTCTCACTAGGAGACTGCTCAGAATCAGTATTATCAAATGGGGTGCTTAAGCCCTGAAGCGAGACTCAAAGTGTGTTGAGCGCGTCACCTCGCTTAATGTGCGTCTTAGTGTCGTCATCAAGGTACTAAGACATATTTTTCCTTGCCGATGAACCTCTTTTGAAGAGGCGGCACTAAACTATTGATATTTCACTTTATCATAAAATAAGTTCAATTTCTTTGATCATATATTTGTCATTCATATTTATATTTTTTAGTCTGGGACCAAACATATATATTTGAATTTTTTTCTCCCTTTGCGCCTTTTTCATTAAAGCTCACGCTTTATTTGTGCTTTGCGCTTAAAGCCCCAACGTACCTTATAGCTTTTTTGCACTTTTTGCTTTTAATAACACTGCTCAGAACATGGTTTAAGTCAAGTTAAGAAACAGAGTTCATAAAATGTTGCTTCTGATTACTCCTTTGGTGATCTGCTGGGAAATTTGTGAAGGTATTTGCTCTTGTAAATATGGAGAAATGGAGAAGATGGCATATAAGTAGTATGCAACATCAAGTTTTTTGGATCCTTAGAACAGCTAGTAACCTGGTCTTCCCTTGCGGTGATCTGGATATCACTTGGAGTAAAATCTGTCAAATGGTGGAGAGACTGAAAACCTATGCCAAGATCCACTATTGTAATATGTCAATTACCGGATTAAGGCAAGGTTAAAGTCAATTCAGATGGAAGCTTCCCAATATCTAGTGGGAAAGTAGGAATTGGTAGAATTATTAGAGACTTTAAGAGGGAGATGATAATGGCTTTTGCTATTCCCACTAAGTGCGGTAGTAGTAAACTTGCTGAAGCCTATGCAGCAATGGTTGGAGCAGCTTGGTGTGTTGGTCATGGATACACTAAATTTGTTCTGGAATTAGACTCCCTTATAGTGGTGAACATGCTGAAAGAAAGGACCACTGAGAATTACAAATTAAGAGCTATCATAGACGACATCATACAGATTTTATCTCAAGCAGAAGTGGAAGTCTAACACTGTTTTACAGAAACTAACAAGTAGCGGATAGCTTAGCTAAATATGCAACTATGCTTCGAGATGCGACTTATATGACTAGGTTTCAAGCTCTGCCCAGGGATGCTAGGGGCCTTACCAAGTAGATTGGTGCCAAAAGCCTATTATAAGGATCAAGCATGATAATACAATTTTTTTTTTCTGAACAAAGAAGTAGTTATACTCATCTGTGTGGAATTCATGGTTTTTGTATCACAGCTATTTGGGAGTCAGGCCAAGCCCCCCTCCATTGTCCCATTATGCAATAACACACTCCAGAGCATGCTGGGAAACTTTATTTAGAAAACGAGCAGTAGTACTTATAGGAGTTTCTTTGCAGAATGCCTGCTGAGTCTTGAAATAGTATGGATATATCGTCTCAAGGCCTCAAAGTATGTAAAACAGTAAACATAATGAACTTCCATTAGACCTGGATATTTCTTTTTTCATGACAAAAATTTAAATGCTGAATTCTTCTTTTTTTTGGTCTTTTATTTTCACTTTTATCAAATGATGACTGCTCCTTGTTTCAGTTCAGTGGTAAATTAGTTGGCATAATTGGATTGGGCAGAATTGGTTCAGCAATAGCAAAGAGAGCTGAAGCTTTTGGATGCCCCATTAGCTACCACTCCAGATCCAAGAAACCAAACTTAAACTACAAATACTACTCTACTGTGGTCGATTTGGCTGCAAATTCTGAAATCCTTATTGTTGCATGCGCTTTGACTGAAGAAACCCGAGGCATAGTCAACCGCAAAGTGCTTGATGCATTAGGTCCAAAGGGCATCTTAATCAACATAGGACGAGGTGCACATGTAGATGAATCTGAACTTGTAGCTGCACTGATTGAAGGTCGTATTGGTGGGGCTGGTCTTGATGTTTATCAGACAGAACCAGAGGTTCCTGAACAATTGTTCGGACTTGAGAATGTTGTTCTATTGTCCCATGCTGCAAGTGATACAGTAGAAACTTGCACAGCCATGGCAGACCTTGTTATTGCAAACTTGGAAGCTCATTTTCTTCACAAACCATTGTTGACTCCTGTGCTCTGAACATGTTCATTCATCAGTGCTTGCTGGGCAATCATCAAGAGTTGGATCTTTGAACTCATTGAACATTTCCAAGATTCTGGAATTGTATTCTTTTTTCTTTGATGATGATATCAAGTTGTGCATTTGACTTTCAAAACCAAAACTTTGAAGGATGGGTTTTATTCTGCTATCTTCCAAGAACTTATGTAGAGTTGTAAATTAATAGCAAGTGGAATACTACAAACTAAGATATTATAGACGAGATGTAGGAAGGGGAGAGAATTTTTCGTCTTTCAAAGGTGAATAACATTCCAATTTATAGGATGAGAAATCACTTCAAAAAAGTCACAAATATTACTCAAATTAATACATACATTGTAACCTATAAAAGTTTCATGTAATTTAGTCAACGTGTATGGACTTATATGGAGGACAAGATACAGAAAGCTAGATTGAGATGATTCGGGCATATAATGAGGAGATGTATGGATGTCCATTGTAGAGGTATGAGAGGTTGGCTATGAACGGTTTCAGGAAAGGTAGATGTAAATTGAATAAGTATTGAGGAGAGGTGATTAGATATGACGTGACCTTGGATAGAAGGTTATGAAGTACACGAATTATGGTAGAAGATTAGTAGGTAGTAGCACATTTTCTTGTCATTCATTCATACTAGTAGTTATAATATTGCTCTTTTAATTATTTAAGCATCGGGTTTTGCTATTATTTGTTGTTTTTTTATAAATTAACTATCATATTATTTGTTGTAGTTAATGTCCTGTTATTAGTGTATTATTTTTGTTACTATCTACTCCCTTCGTTTAAAAAAGAATGACCTCCTTTCTTTTATAGTCTGTTTCAAAAAGAATGACCTCTTTTTTTTTGTAACATTTTAATTTCAATTTTCCACGTGACATGTTTAAGGCCACAAGATTAAAGGGCAATTTTGTACATTTGACATAATTTTAATTTAGGATCACAAGATTCAAAAGTTTTCTTTATTTCTTAAACTCTGTACCAAGTCAAATTAGGTCATTTTTTGTGAAACGGAGGGAGTACTATTTTTCAACTTCTATTACTTCTTCTGAACTGCTTTGAACTATTTTTCCATTGAAACAACTTCTCTACCTTTAAAATAGAAGTAAGGACTGCATACCCTCTTCAAATCTAACTTTGTAAAATTATATTGAATATGTTATTATAGTAGTAATATAATCCAATAGCCAACAACCATCCAAACAAGCTGTAAAGTCCTAGAAATAGTGACCACCTCTAGTATAGACATGGCCTACAAAGCTTATGATTGACTATGGAATATATGCAAAGAGATTCTAAAATGGCAAATTCAATTTTGTGATAAAGCAACTTCAACACTCCTTTTCCTTTAAATCTGGTCCTTAATTAAGGCAAACCCAGAAAGTGTCTTTCTCAAAGGCATCATAACCTTCTTGATAAGTAAAGTGAGTGAGCATAATTAAATTTAATCTACTCATGGATTCATAACTAAAAGTTACATTTTCTTTGAAAACATACAATGGGCAGATCTTGCTTTCAAAAGTAGAAAAAAAAATGTTTAAAAAGGGGGAAGGAGTTATGAACAAGAGGAATGACTTAACTAAGAGTAACTACAGCGCGGTACACTAAAGCTCCTGCTATAGCTCAAGGAAAGGGCCAGACCACAACGGCCTATAATATCTTGTCAAGGAGAAGAGGCTCCTTTGAAGATTAGGAAGTTTAGAGTCTCTAAAGTGAAATAGATAAATGTTCCTTTAGTATGAGTAAAGAAACACCCAAAGTTTGATCCCACCACACATTGCCATCCACCTCCATACTTCTTGTCAAATTCCTGCATAAATTTTTTTTAAAAAAAAACAAGAAAGGGCAAAATATTGACTATCTAAACTTTCATCTGAGTACCAAAGTTCTAAAATTAATAAACTTTGGTACATTTGTATGAAAAAAAGATTGTTTTTTTTTTTGAAGAATGTGGAAAAGGGGTGAGACCTTCTTGATGTGAGCAGCAATAGATTTGCAGTCTAAAACATCATAAAGATCAAGAGCTTGAGAAGCATATGACATAGCTTGGATCTGCATCTTTACTGGCATGTCTGTGTCTTCAATCAGTGCTTTGCCTTCTAACATACTGTTTTGCTATGAATTAAGAAGAAGATGAAGATGAAGATGTTAGTGTGAAAATCAAGAAAAGAAATTAAAGAAACTCCCTGCACTTACTTTTTTCTTCTTTTAGGCTCTTTCCAAAGAGTGACTATATAGAAATTTCTCAGCCCAATCTCTTTTTGAGTGCAAGTTTTTAAATCCATCCAAATGACACAGTAATATATAAATATGTCTCGTGTTTAAACTTATTTAAAATTGAACAAATAAGACACATGTTTTGTGATATTCTACATGACAATTTGAGTTTACGTGATATTTTACGTGTATTATGTCATGTAGTACTAATGTATGAAGATATTTAATTATATACAAATTTAAGTATCTACTTGTATATATTCAAAATTGGAAGACATAAAAGACATATTTATATATTATGTCGAAGAAAAATCACAAGGCTTTAAATTTAAATATTGGGGAAAATAAAAGGTTTAAATATTGGAGATAGGAGTAGTGAGATAAGATTGTATAGAAATAGTATTGATACCAAATTATAGTACTGTAAAGTTTGGCTGCAAACTTAAGTTTGTGTGTTAGGTACATGCCATATTCGGTACTAGTTTTATATAGGGTAATCCATTAGTGGCCCCCTAAAATTGACACTAATTTTCACTTAGACACTTTAACTAGACTTTGTTCATTTTAGACACTTCATGTAAGGTTTTGTTGTGTCATTTTGACACTTTCGTTACAATCAGCAAAAATATATAATGTGTGTAATACACTCGCGAATGACGTGTAAAGTGTCCAATTAAATGAAGACATTTGTCATTTGTGCCCAAAATCATTCTTAAATAATAAATTTTGAGAAAAACAAAAAGTAGCCAATACATCGATGACATGTGGCATTTTTTCCTCATATAATTAAAAAAATATTTAACCAATTAACAAAAACTATTTTGCAGCCTTCTCAGTGTCTTCTCCAAAATACTAACTTTTTTGTAGAAACGCTGCCCCCTCCTCAGCGGCCCTTCTCAATCATACACAAACCCTTCAATTATATAAAAGAATAAAGCTAAATCATGGATTTAGATTCTTCTTAATCAATAACAAAACAATTAAATTGAACGGAAATCATTAAAATTAACTGGAGAAAAATAATTAAGAGAGCACTTACCGTAAAAGCTAAGTTTGAAGGTCTGTGAAGGAAGAGGAAAAATTAAATTCACTTCCATATTACAATAGTAAATTCCTCCAAAAAAGAATTTCATGATTATTTCAATATTTAAATCTTGAAATAGGTTTTTAAAAAACATTCGTCATGGATGGAGTTAAGCTTGAAAAATGGAGGCTGAAAATGGGGAAAAAGAAGAAGAAAACATAATTAAAAATTGATTAAATAAGCTTTTCACGCGCAATAAACGAGTGTATCACACTCTCTATGACGTGTATGCAAAAAGTGTCAAAATGACACAATGAAAAGTTACCTAAGGTGCCTAAAATGAACAAAGTCAAGTTAAGGTGTCTAAGTGAAAGTTGGTGCCAACTTTAGGGAGCCACCGATGGGTTAGGCCTTTTATATATAGTAAAATTATGATATTTCCTCCGTCCAATAATAGTTATCTATTATATTAGAGAAAAGACATAAAGTGACATTTAAAGTTGTTTCGAATTTTCAAAAAGACACCTAAACTAAGCAAGCATTCTATTATCCCCCTAAATAATCTTGAACTGATATTATTACATCATTTTTTGTCCACCTGGCATGGAGAGTGTATGCACTCTCTTAAAGAGAGTGAACAAACTAAAAAAATAAATATAATTTTATTTTTACATGTATTTTGCTATAAAATATATTTTCTTAATTTTCTTATTATTTTAACTTTTCTGCTTATTATTTTTTCCTTTTTCTTTCTTCCTTCTTTTTCAAAAATCATTGTCATCTTCATTGTAGCTTCTCACTTTCAATGTCATTTTTTATCACAACTCCACCTCCCTTTTTTACTACTATTAGTTTAACTCTTTTCAATTTTAAAATCATATCTAAATATTTTATTACATTTCGAACAATTTGATAAACCCATTAGATTTCAAGATGATTAGTAGGTATTATTTAGTTTTTTAATCCAAATTTCAATTAAACTTTTCAATTTTCGGAGAATTCCGATTCTTTCAAAATTATCATTTCTAGTTTTGAAGTTATATGAAAATGAGATAAATTAATTGATGATACCTTCAAAATTTTGATTTTTCTTAGAAAAATAATTAGTTTTGTTATCAATAACACAAATTCTAGAAAATAGTATAATTTTGGAAAGAAAGAAATTTGACCAAAGAAGAAGAAGAAAAAGAAGAAGAAGCAAGAAAGAAAATGGGTTGGGGGGGGGGCTCAACTTGACGTGGGGTGTGGTGTGGTGAGGGTGGTAGGTGAAGAAGAAGAAAGAAAGAAAGAAAATGGAGGGAGGGGTAGCTTGAAAGTAGGGGTAGAAGATGAAGTAGAAATTAAAATTGAAGTAATTAGATTAAAATAAGTCAAAAAGTAAGAGAGAAAAATGAAGAAAAACTTAAAATGATTTTTTTTTTATATTTCAAATTAAATTAACACGTGTTACACAATGTGTTACACAATGATTGGTGTGTGATAACACTTGTCATTTAAAATCTGGAATTAATCGAAAAATGATATAATAATATATTATCGGAATTGTTTAAGGGGGTAATAGAACGCCCGCATAATTAAGGTGTCTTTTTGAAATTTCGGAACAACTTCAGGTGTCATGTTATGTCTTTTAAATAGTTGTTCAACAATACTTGTTTAATTTAGAAAATCAAGAGATAATCTATTTTTTGTGTCTATATTACTCTTGTTATTAAATATTATTTATTATCTAACATATTTTTCAAAATATTAAATTTAATAAAGTTAAAGGATAATATAGTAATATTAACTAATTTAAATATTAGTAATACACCATATTTCGTACTATTTTATATCTTCTCAATCAATAAAAGTGTCGGTACTTATGCTAGTGGAACATATATAATAAAATATATTCTAAAATTAATCGAAATATACACATATCAATTAGAATAGCATCATTATAAAAATAAATAAATTTCCAAATATAAAGGAGACATTTGCAAAAGAGACATGTGGTGGGTGGCACATGACTCCAAATTGAGTGTCTTGTTCCTCCTCACTTTAAGGACATCTTTTTTAACATTATTATTATTTTAATAATGTTTGATCCTTCTCTTCCTACGTCATATCCAACTCGATGACGATGTTTAGATAAACTCCTTGAGGCCTCAAATAATTCAATTATTGATTTTGCAATTTTTTTCTTTAAGAAAAGTATCTACTTTTATATTATTATTTCCTTGACTTGGTATTCATATATTGATAGGTAAATAATTCATACACATCGATTATGTGAATTGATATTTGTACCGATATGTGCTTACAACTTCATTCCCAGAGTAAGGAAAAAGAAGATAAAACGTCGGAGAATAGCTTTTTGGATCCGCTACTGACTTCATTAAAATATTTGTCTTACAAGCCTTATAATTATATTTTTTGCTATAACTATTGACACCCTTTAATGACAATCTTAGATTCGCTACTGTATGTGATATTTGTACCGACAGATGCTTACTGCTTCATTTCCAGAGTAAGGAGAAAGAAGACACAATGCTGGAGAATAGATCTCTTATGAAATCGATCGTTCAACTATAGCAGGAGAAATAGAGTATTTTTTTTAGTGTAACAATATTGTGGTCATTTAATATTTGTATGTATCGATCATTTAATATTTATACGTACTGATAGAAGAGAACAATATTATGGTCATTTAGCATCTCTGTTTTTCTAAAATAATTAAAATGCAAGTGAATCCATACTTAAAAGGTCAACTAATTATATCATTAATAACTTAGAGAGAGAAAAAAAATACAATCTATTACGACCATTCATCAGTGTATAAACGTAAATCCATGTATTAACTCCAAAATATATACATTTTTTTTCATTACTCCTTCGTCTTATATTAATTATTTACTTTCTTTTTTATATTTTTTAAAAGAAATTATAATTAAAAAGAGCAATTTTATTAATTTATTCCTGAAGAAATCATAAACTTATTCACACTTTTAAAAAAATACTAATTATAGTGATAAAATAAGAAATTTAATTAATTTTCTAAATTAACAAACAATTTAGAGTAACTTATTTTATACTAATAAATATGGACAACAACTAGTATGGGTCGTAAGGAGTAGCTCTGTTAATATCAATACAAATTATTACAGTAGTGTATATAGTAAGAAAAAAGAGTTAAAATATTTATCAAACATACACATAAATTATTTCACTTTATTGAGTAATTTCATATATGAACTATTAAGAGTGTGAGCTTTGTACCTGAATTATGATCCAATAATTAACGAAATATACCTAGACATTAGGCCTAATGTTTGTCTAGAAATGTTTATATCCATGAAATATTTGTCCACATGGTATATGTAACGTCTTTATTTGTTGACATATTATTTTTTAAATATATTTTTAATTGACTTTTTAAAAATTCTAAACTCTCCCTTTTCAAGTCGGATATATCGATGTCATGACAAAGACGAGACCACAATTAAAAGGTGGAGAAGAAGATGGTGGATGTCACAGTTAGAATAAAGTGATGATTTTAACCTTTAACCTCAACTTTTAACCTAATACTAATTTATTTAGAATTGTCATGGTGAAATTTTTTTTACACGTGAAGCGCCATGTAACAAAAATTTTAGATAAAAGAGAGTGTTCACACATCATAAAAATTAGTGAAGGTGTATTTCACTAACTATTGAGTGATAATTCACGCAGAAAACTCACTCTTAATAATTCAAATTACTGAAATGATTTAAATGTGTATTTTACCTTTTAACCCTAATATAAATCATAATATGCCGAGATTTTTTCTTTCCTCGAAAGAAGGAAATGAAAGCATTGAAAATAATACGTCGAGATTCAATGAACTAGAATAGGAGAATATTTTCATAGGATATTTTAGCAATATTTGGTATAGATAAATATCTTAGTTTGATCTTAATTGACAACAAAATACTTTGATTTTGAAGATGCATATTTTAAATATTTCTCATTTCCACTGTGTTAGTTAAACATTTTAACTTATAAAATGATCTTTTAAATACTTTCAATATTTATATATCACGTCAACTGGAGTGTCCACAAGACATGTTAAGGACGAATTAAAGTGTCTAATTATGCATTCTCAAATTAAAGTGTTCAGTTGTAAATTGAAATCAAATTAAAATATCTATGTATTTAATTCAAGAACCTTCTCTTGTACATTATTAGTAACTAAACTCAATAAGCTTACCTCTTTTACCACCTCTCTTCATCTCAAATGATAGTTATTGACTGATATTTTAGTATACATGATATAAAATGAATCATATTGTAAGATCCATTGAACAAAACAGAGAAAAAGTATAAATATCATTTATTTGAAAACCAAAAAGGGAAAGAAAATGGATGTTGAGTTGAGATCATGTGGTCCAGTAGACCCTAATAATCTTATTTATTCCTTGAAAACTTGTAGCTTGCAAGCAAAGAAAATGATGTAAGGCATGAATGGGTTTGATTTGAGAACTCAAGCAAGATTGAATGATGACAAGATTAGGGAAGGCATGAATTTGACATGTTGGGGCCAAATAAATTGCATGAGTAAATATTAGAGTGAAAGGTCAAAAATACATTTTGAGTTTCACTTTTATGAATTTTATATTTGAACTATCAGATGCAGAGGCGGATCCACACCTAGAGGGTATGCGTACATTCATAATTCGGAAAAAATCATGTATATATATGTATATCTACCTTGAGAAACTAATAGAAACTAGGATAATTTAACAGTGCACTCATGAATAGCATATGAGTGCCTTTGTGCCATTGATACAAGCTAGAGAAATCACCCATTAATTTGAGTTTGAATCTAGCTAAAGCCATTTTTCACTGTTTTTACTTTAAGTTGAGCTTAGAGCTCATACTTAAGCTAAGGCAATTTGTAGAATTTACCCTAAATTCAAACCCATTAGATTTGAGTTCGAATCTAGCTAAAGCCGTTTTTTACTGTTTTTATTTTAAGTTGAGCTTAGAGCTCATGTTTAAGCTAAGTTAATTCGTAGAATTCACCCTAAATTCAAACCCACTGCCTTTTTTGAAAAAATAAAAGAAAATTCTACTATATTATTTTTAATATAACAAATTCAATATTTTTGGAAATGGATTAGGAACGATTATAATTAGTAATAAGAATAAATTAGAAACTAAGTGATGAATTATATCTTTTGATTTTTTAAATTGGACACGTAAAAATTGACATATATTTATCATCAGAAACCCAAAAAAATTGAAAATTGTTGATGTTGAGAGTGGGATTTGAACCCACGCCCTTTCGGACCAGAACCTTAATCTGGCGCCTTAGACCAACTCGGCCATCTCAACATCTGTGATCTTTACTGCCACATATTTTTATAATCTAAGTTTCCAGTTGGAACAAATTCATGAGAGTGATACTAGTGATATTAACTTGATACAATAATTTTCTTTATTGCACTAAATTTGATTTTTTGTCTATTGTTGTTCATATATCACACCATGGTGCATAAATTGCACCAACTTATTGTCAAATCTTGATATGGTAGCATTCCTCATTTATAATGATTTCAGTCACTAACTGCCTAGAAAGTTTCTCATGTTTTATACAAATGCATGTGCCGAAAAGCAGCAGTGCCAGAAAGAGTGCAATTGGAAAGTAAAACACACAGTAAAGTTGTCTATGCTCTTAACAATCTGCAGATTGATGATTATCCCACACACTACTACTTGGCATATGACCCGTCAAAGCCGGTATCATTGCATCCAAGGGTATGACTTAGTGATTAGTGACAGGCGGAAAAAGACCACAGATGAAATCCATAACACACCAAAAGTCCAAACTAGTGTGAAACTGTTGACAGTATTCATCAACAAGAATTAGAAAGCACAAGACCATGATCAGCACTGCTAGCAAGTTTGCTTTGAAGAACTCAAATAAGAGACTTATTATACTGCATATAGATTCAGACGTGATAAGAGTTCATGAATAGGAATTACTGGTGAAAGTTGAAGGAATGGAGAGCTATATACATCCTGTCATAGGTATAGAAAATTACACGAATGGAGGATAGTTCAACATTTTCATGAACTATATACGCGGCTTAGTCAACATTACATGAACTAGTGATGAAAGTAGAAGGAATGAAGATCTATTATGTGTAAGTTTGAAAACAGAACCCTCCTAACTAGCAGCCTCAAAATCGCCAAAGTGTTTATCATCCAACTAAACATATGTGAATCGAATCACCTAAAGTCAAAATCTGTTGCAACAAGTCCAGAAATACACTAGTTATACAGGATTATATGCACATATGTTATCAAACCCCATATGTTGCCCTTCCTTGATCTTTCTAATCGTGTCTGCTATGCCAACACCACCTGTAACCAAATACGTGTAGACAACAAGATCAAAACTGTGACAACAACTAGTGCGGGAATGAATCATAGTTAATTGATAGAGACAGCTTCATATAGCTCAAAATATGTAAGCGAAATGAAAAGAAAAGGAACTTGCCTAATGAGAGTGCGCTAACAAAGATTGTGAAGGCCAAAATAAAGATGATTACAGATGCTCTACCAACTATGCTAATTATTTTTCGTACGACATGTTGTCCTACCAAGGCAGCAACAGTAGCCACAGCAACAAAATACATGGCTGCAAGATAGTGATAAAATAAAGTGGTTAAGAAAAGAAAAAAAACGCCCAAGACTTCAAGTTTCCTCTTCCAATGAGGAGCTCAATATATAATTGCTCAACTCAACAATAATAAAAACCAATGAAGATTTTCAAGTTTTCCTTACCATACGGTACTGGAAACCGTCCTATCAGGTAATATTGTATTACGGACATGGAGGACGAGAATATCATCACAAAGGTAGCAGTTGCACTAGAAACCTGCATTTGCAAATTTCTCATTAGCTACAAGTCATAAAATTTGTTCTCTCTAACATATTAAGCTTTCGAGCAAAACTCAAATGCTAAATAAGAAAGTTATGTACTAAAACAAGAGTTATCAGGAGAAACGAAAGATGCACCTGAGGAGGAATCCCTAGTTCTAGAAACAACGGACCCAAAATGAACCCTCCCCCAAGACCTAGCAGCCCACCAACTATACCAGCCAAAATGCCACAGCAACAGTAAAGAATCAATTGATGCACTTTCCAGGTTATTACTGCTTCGCCACTTGACATGACCACCCTCGTTCCCTTATACAAGCAAACTGCTTCATATGCAGAAGCTCCTACAGCAACAGGGACCTGAAAATTAGAAAAAGAAATATTCTTCAACAAGAAGAAGCTAATACCTCCTACATTGACAAAAAGCAGCAGCTCAAGTCGGTGTAGTAACCGTAACAAGGGAAGGGGATAATAATTATCTTCTCATTGAGCCATTTTCTCACCAAATATTGTCCTCATAACACATTTGGCACCTCTAAGACCTAAATGCTGTCTCTGCCAATTTTCCTCGTGACTTTCACAGTCGACTATCTATTGACTAGGAAAAAAGAAGAGAGATATGCATCTATGAAATCTCATTTAGCATGTTTAGCTACAGAAATAATTTAATGTCAGATAAACCTAGACACAACGTGCTAAGCTACACAAATCAATATTATAAGAGCGGACGCTTGCGATCAAATTATTGATAAAAAAACCTTGCTGATCATAAAGTTAAGATGGATATGCGCATGAATGAAGTTTGAAGAAAATACAGAGACAGTTTCTTTTACATCTCAAGCAATAAGTACCTGTAAGACGTTTAAGATCCAATATGTCGTTGAACAAGTTGATGTATAAGTCTGTACCCAAAAAATGTTAGCTTCTGGTCAGAAAGTTAATAGTGTAGGAATATGTAGAAGGTGGTCCTGAAAATGTGAAGGCATTTCAAACAGGCAAGCAATTTAAAGCAATAAACCTTGAAGATATGCAGTACAAGGAGAATGATCCACACAGCAATAAGTATGGTGAAATCCTTCCAATACACATTGTCAACAATTGAGACCTGGAGAAGCTCAAGAAGTCAGCATTAGAGTATAGCATTTACAAAAAGGTATTTCAATGCTCAACATAACATGAGGTAATACATGTAAATGAAAATTGGACACTGGCCATGTAGGTAGTCAAGTAAATTGATAGTGACAAATAGAAAGTAGTCAAGCGAATAGAGCCACGGGGGTTATAAATCACCTCTGGTGTCTTATACCCTTCATTTCTAACTCTTGAGCCTCCGGGTAGGAGTTTGTACGCAACATCTTCGGCACCAGCATCTGTTGCAGTTTCACAATGCCACATTATTACTAACTAGTCAAATATCTCTGTTAATACTTACATGATAAAAGTAGAGAATTTAAGCAACTTACTGCTAGATGTCAAGCGTCTGGAGACCTCCTGGACGTAAAAGAAGCACAAGTGAACAATTTATTAGAAAAAACACACACTCTAACCAAATTACTGTCATGAAGAAGGTACAAGAGACTAACCTTTTTTATTATGGTTTCTTTTTTCCATGTCTCAACACCCTTGAAGAATGACCTAGTTGATGTAACTGCAAGTCCTTAACCAATCAGAAAAACTGCTATCACAATATGGGTAGAATCATAGCAGAATCATCATTACCTATGAAAAGAATGATCAACAAAACTGTAACCATCCACTCAGCAAAAAGAATGTTGAGAACAACTCCAATACTGATCCCTAGCAACAACATTGGCTGTAAAAGAAGAGCTAGATCATAATCAATGATGGGAAGGTCAAGTATTGGATGCCTTAGCTTGAGGTTGTAATAGACAGTTGCCCCTGCTGCACCAGTTATCATACCTGGCAAGGAAAATAGAATGCTCAATGAGAGTGTGGACTGTGGACCAAAACATGATGGTAAAAATTTTCTTCAGTATCACATAGTTCCAAAGATTTTTTTCCCATTTTTTCGCTATTTTAGAGCCCTTCTCTACAGAGACACAACTAAGTCTTGTGCCAGCTTGAGTGAAAGAAGAAGTATTAGCACAAGAAACCATCTAACATAAACTTCTTTTTTGTTCTTGATGACCATGGTGTCCGGGCCAACTTTCGCACACCTCGACTACTTTCACCGGATACCTGCCACCTCCCACCAACAACAAGTATCAGGTATCAGGTAGCTCTGTCCACCAAGGCTAGGACAACATGTATGAGTAACTCTGTCCACCAAGGCTAGGACAACATGTATGAGTAACTCTGTCCACCAAGGCTAGGACAAATGGGAAGAATCGCTTAAAGTTTTTGTCTCCGCTGGGATTTGAAGCTCCTCAACTTAAAAAAATCGCACTTGAACCACAAACCAGCATACAAACAAGACAAGCATGATGATTATAAATATTTGATGTTACAAAATAGATTCTTACATTTTGATATTGCAGTTGATGTTTTTGGATCAAACCCAATGATCAAAGTAAGCATGGGAACAAAGATACCACCTCCCCCAACACCTCCTACACTCCCAAAAGCAGCAGCAAAGAATCCAATCACAGAACCAACAATCACTCTCCACCCAAATTCCAATTCCTGAAATATACATAACACAATTGAGTAAGAACATCCACCACAAGGCACAAACGGCTACGCCTTCAAGCCGTCAATCAAACAGAACAGTCCTTACAAAAACTTTGATGTTGAAGTGTACTTACAGGCCAAAAATGTTGGTAATGCATTTTAGCCTTATGAAGCAAAAGCTTGAATATCTTAAAAAAGGAGCCTGATTCAAAGTCATCATTTGTTCCTCCATTTGCAACAATTTCCTCCGCAGAAACAAAAAGGGCAAAAGCTAAAACAATAACCCCAACTACATATCCTGTCAAAGTCTTCCCAATTTCAGCCATCAATTGGTATATCCCCACTCTATTTTTGCTCCAAATAGCCAGTACCCTTCTTAAGACAATCAAGATTAAAACTTTGACCAAGTCAGTATCCTCTCAAAACAAGTTGAAAACAAGAAATGATAGATCATTACACTTACCCAACTAACTATTTTAAAGCTGCAATCTTTTTAAACAATATATTATAAGCATCAACTCCTCCAACCTGATATAGAGTACATTGACCAAGTAAGAAACTTCTAGAAGTGTACCCTTGAAGCAAGAAATCAAGATCCTGTAAAGGGCAACAACAACTGATTGGACTATATATTAGACACTAGAAGAAGCAACTTATGCAATCAATGTTTTTCATACAAATACAATAGATAAAGTCAAAAACCTGTAAATGAAGTTAAAACTTGAAGCAAGAAATCAAGATTATTGTACCTACCCCAAGTAAAATGTGTAAAGGCAACAACTTTTGGTGTAAATATATTTGAAAAGGAAGCAAGTAACTTTACAGCAATATTTAAAAGTTGAGGCTGATTAGCCTGTAGACTTGTGTTTAAAAGCTCCTCTTTTTTAAAGCTCTTTAATGGTGTATTTTTGGTTTTGACCTTTTATTTATATACTCTCGTCCAATAATAGTTGTCCATCATATTATTTTGAGATATCCAATTATACTTGTCTACACTATGAATCAATGGATAATCTTACATTTAGTTTCTAATTTACCCCTATCATTAATTATAGTTAGTTTCCTATTATATTTTTCAAAATAGAGTTGTTTATTATTCTCTTCGTTCACTTTTATTTGTCATGTTGCGTTTTTCGAAAATCAATTTGACTAATTTTAAAATTAAATTAAATTACATTAATTCGATATTTTAAACAAAAAAAAATTAATATTCAAAAATTATACAAAAAGTACTATAATTTACATTTTTTATATATCAATATAATAATAAAAAAATTATAAAATATTAATCTAAATTTTTATAATTTAATTCTAAAAAGGAAATGAAAACAATTAAAAATGAACAAAAATAATATATTTAAGGGATAGTATAATAAAATTGTCCTTCTATTGTTAGACAGCGAGAGAGTGTATAGAAAGTCTGGTAGTACATGTTGTAGGTGTTTTAATTATTAGTGGTACCATAAATCAATGCTAAATTAAATGATCAACCAGTGACATCTCCACGTTTTTCCTTTTCTTAAATGGTGTTATAATAAAGCTATCTTAACGTCCATATCTTACTATTGAGTCATTAATTAATTTTGTTAAGTAATTCATAAGTTTATATACTAAATATAAAATTTATGAAAAAATTATTGAATTTGTCCGAACTTTCGAAGCTCCACTTCGGGCACTTAGCTCTGCCACTGCCTGTTTGGTTTGATGGACGAATTCAATAATATGTATTGCATAATTTTATAATTAATAATGAGAAGTGGATAAATTGTTTCTATCTTTTGTATGTAATAATGATAACAATCGCGAAATAACTTATTTCAAAATAAAATATTAAAAAAATAAATATCCACTTCTCATTATTAATTATAAAATTATGCAATACATATTATTTAAATATAATAAATTCACTAAGAAATAACACTAGAACAAAAAATCTCAATAAAATTAATTTCAACATAATAATTTCATCATCACTTGTGTTCACATCAAACAATTCCTCAAAGTACCGACAATAACACTGTGAACATGTGATTTGATCATGATTTTGAAGCGTAGAATTTGTAATACCAAATCGTAATTTTTTTTAAATGCAAAATTTGATTTTTAAGTTTATATTTTATAAAATAAATATTCATCATTTTAAACTGTACAAAAAAAAGGACTCATGTTTGATATAAAGAGATTATTCGTACCATGTGAAAAGATTATATCAAAGAATAATTAGTTAATGTTACTGTTGACTAGTGAATCTTTATAAAATTACGTGTATTTAGAAATTTGTAATCACAAACATTTACTTATAAAAAGATTGTAGAGATATGTGATTTATCAATGCGGCACCTTACGATATTTCAGTATTGAATTATGGTTAACTCATTTGGTAAGATTAGAGAAATTTTGATAATTTTCAAAACTTGAGGAGTTTTATATTTATGATTTAGATACAATTTAAGAAATCTGTATATCCAAATAATTTCATAAATCATAATTTCAAATCATGTCCAAAAATAGTATAAATCATAATTTTTTGAATTCAAATTCTAAATAGAAAATATCTTGTCAAAGAACAATTTTTCCTTGTAAGAAGCATTATACATGCCAATCTAAATTCAAACTTCTAATATCATCACTGAAAATAAATAAAAATTTATTTTAAAAGTAAATGCGCCAAACGTAATAATATAAATAAAATAAAGACTAGACAATATCCGAATTCTGCGGTAGGTTGCTAGCTCTTTTTCCTTTCATATTCATTTCAATTTTCAACCAAAAAAAAAATAAACATTGAGACTTGGTACTCTTTTTTATGTACTATTTTTTTTAAGTTACTTGGTCGTTTGGTAGAGTTTATTGGAGAAAATAATGTTTGCATTAGCTTGATGTATTATTAGTACTTTGTTTGATACACTTTTCTAACTTATGCATAACTAATGCCTGTATTAGTAATACACTCTATTGTGTATTGAAGAGTGTATTACTAATACCATCTATTTCTATGCATTAGTAATGCAATGGGTTCTAATGCATGGATTAATATTATTAAAGACACAATTGCCCTCAAAAACTTTTTCTACATCATTTCCATTATATTTGTTGAGGGTATTTTTGTAAACAAATATTTTTTCTAAAAAAACTATGTAATGCATAATATTTTTAGTACATCAAACCAAACATTGCATAAAAAAATCTTATCATAACTAATACAAGCGTTACTAATGCAAGCATTATATTTTGCATTATTCTTATACATTCTACCAAACGACCCTAGACTTTAATTTTTTAACTCAGAATTCATTCAATTATACACTATTTTCTAAAGTTACTCAACTTTAAGTTTTAACTCAAAAGTCACTCAATTATGAGTGTACTTACAAAGTCATTCAATCTATTAGAAAAAATTGTTTAATTAAAATTTGCTGACATAATTTTCTTATTTAAAATCAAAACTTTAAGAAATTAAAAATATTCATTTAAATCATTTAATGACCCGCCCCACTTAACCCAACCCGCTACAAAATTTAAATTAGGTATTATTTTTTTTCCTGTTCCTCCAAAAAAAACGAAATCAATTTAGACAAAATGAAAAATAAAAATCAATTTATTTTTAATTTTTAAAATAAAAAACAATTTGAAAAAATTAGTCTTAAAAGTTATGATAAATAATTTGAGATAAAGAAAGTACTATGTATATCCTTAAATTATAAGTCAAATTGGAGATGTCAAAGAGGGAATAATGTTGAATTATTTTGATCAACTCAATAATTAGAGGTGAAATTAAAGTTTTAGGACCATCTTTTCTCTAAATTCAGTGGTTATATCAAATATCCACCATACAAATCCTATCCACTAAAAGGAATTTTGAGATCAGATTGCATGATCCCACTTTCATAGATTTAATTTTCTAATACCCTACTACTGACATATTTGATTAAATTTATATACCATACTTAAGTAGTTCTTTAATTTGGAGTTGTTGGTTGGAGGAATAAAATATAATCTCAGCATTAATCTTGCATAGATAACGATGTATAATAAAAGGATGAAAAATAATAATCTTACGCCTAACTTTATATGGCTTGTAATTGCGGAAGATAAAAATGATTTGAACATATGAAGAGAAGATGCATAGACGAGACACATTAAGAAGGTGTTAGATGTTAGTTATAGGGTACGAAAAAAGATAAAGGTAGGTCGAATAGGTATTGAGAAGCGGTGATAAGATATGATATATATGATACAACTTCAGGTTATCGAGGACATGATCTTATATAGAAAGGTGTGGTAGACACTTATTATGATAGAAGATTAGTAGGTAGTGTAGTCTTGATCTTTTTAGAGTGGTTGATTTTTGTCATTGTACTAATTGTATTATTGTAATTCTTGTTTTTTTTTTTTATATTTATCATTGTTATTACTTATTTTGTCAAGTACTAGTTGTATTTTTATTACTGTTTTTAATATAGTATGTTGTTGATTGTGTTTTAATATCACACTATTTTATTGTTGTTTTTACTCTCATCTAGTAGACTTTGCAATGTTTCCAGGCGACCTGCTATATTTTTCTCAGTCTCCTTCTTTGTTACTTTGCACTTGAATCAATTTTTTAAAAAATATCCTCTCTACCGCTACGAGATAGTGCAATGCCTGATGAAGAATCGTTGTGATATTGATTGAACCAAAGTGAACATTTTCAAGTGTTCCCACTCTAAAATCTTAAGTGGACCTTATAATCCTTGCCTTTTCATTCTTTCAATTTGTCACCATATATTTTCGATCGACATCTTTTCCTTTGTTTTATCAATCAAATCAAACGTTTTGGATTTTTGTTTTTTCCCTTTCGTGCATTCAATGCATCATAAACCACAATAATGACATGACATGACATGCATAAATTAAAGCTCAGAAATTAATAGGTACAATATATAAATGCGTCTTTTAATTTGAATTTATTTTATATTTATGTTATTCAATTTTGGGGTATAAAATAGACACTTAAATTTATATAAACTTAAACAAGTAGTTAAACACATGAATCTTATGTGACATAATACACATAGAATATTACGTAGAACACAAATTGTCATGTAGAATGTCACGTAGGACATGTGTATTTATTTATTCAAACTTGTACAAGATTAAATACTATCTACTTGAACATACCCAAAATTGAAGGATATAAATATAAATTAAAGCCAAGTTATAAAAAAAACATATTTATATATTATGCCAAATTAATATGACTTCTACTCTGAATTGGTTTTTGAAACATACAGAGCTAATTAGAGGAAGAAATATAAGTATTGAGATTTCTAGGTGTAGTTTGATTAAGAGGGTCATGTGAATCTCAAAGGGGCCACTTGGTTATAAAGATAAAGAGATAGTAATTACGGGATAAAATATAAAATTATATTATTCGTATTTGATTGAATTTTGATTTCGATATAAACAGTTTAATTTGGAATTATTTATATCATAATTGTATTAATTTTTTTTATATCATCTTCAATGCAAAATAGTAATTATGTTGTTACTCTTTCATAATTTTTTTAATATCATATTCACTAAATAATTAATTTTGTCATAATAATCACACTATTGTACTAGTATAATCTGTTCACAAATCAAACAACCCATCATGTTGTGTATTGTAGACGAAAGAGAGTTTCTGAAAGTATTTCTTTATTTTTATTCTTTATGTGATTGAATTTTGATTTCGATACAGGCTATTTATATCATAATTGTATTATTTTCTATTAATATCATCTTCAATGCAAAATAGTAATTATGTTGTTACTCTTTCAGAATTTTTTTTTATATCATATTCACTAAATTATT